ACTTAATCTGTTGGGACTCTTTCCTCAGCACTCTAAGTGTTGTTAATGAACTTAAATTCAAAAAGGGTAATGCTAACTATTCAAACCTAAGGCAACTCTGCCACCCTCTGTAGCATGGCTGACTGAGAGGCTGGAACTCATTCAGCAGCTTAGCAGGCAAACATCAAGACCAGAGTTAGAGGTACTGATGCTTGGGATCCCAAAGAAAGGCTCTTTAACTTACTGCTTCTCATGCTTTTGTTAAAGTTAGGAATTACTGTGGTTTGTTCTTGTTGAGACTAGAATTCCTGGTAGAATGCCAGACAGCAAAAGTTGGGCTTGTCTGTCTTGCTAGGGGAGTGATGTAGAAATGCAGAGACAGGAGATCCTTCTCTTCTGTCTACCTGCATCTAAACCTGTCAAGTTTGGAACAGTGAACTTGATGTATGAGATAATTACTGTTCTTTCCATGACTGGAAAGGGAGGGAAACAATTTTTTTAATTGATCCCATCAGAGCATGTGGAGAGGTAGGCATGAGTCTATGTTCATAACTCTAAACTTAATATGCTGAGCCAGCAATTCACCTTGCAGTCTAGGTGCAGACATCTAGTTAGACCAAACCAGTGCCAGGAGAAATGTATGCCTGCTGTCTGATAGCCCTGCAACAGTGCCACTCAAAAGTTTCACCCAAGTGCTGTTTCCTCCAGGGCTAGGGAGGATGCCCCACCAGACCTTCTCTTAAACAGAACTTAGAGACTATCTCCCTTTCTGCCCAGAGAATTCTGGTAGACCTCAGGTGGACTAGGTCTGATCAGAAGTGAAACAGCTGCTAAGGCAGTGCTCCTATCTCTGTACCTCTTAATTCAGCCACAGCTGATGTGCAAGTGCTATTAAGTGATACCTAAATGTGAATTTGGTAAGCATTAAAAGTGGAGAACATGCCTGATGAGCTTGACTGAGTACTGAATCAAATCCTTGCCATTAGGAAGGTCAGTTATTAAATTCCTGCCACTTGCATCCCATCAGGAGGCCTTGAGCTGAAGGTAACACTAATTTTACTCTAAGTCTTGCATGGTGGGGCTCTAGGAAAAAAAAAACCACAAACAAACAAACAACCCACAAACCCATCAGGTTGACTGTATGTTTCTCAGACTACTTCAGATCTAAAGCCCTGTGCAGGCATGGCTGGCTGTCTGAATTCAAGATCTGGGGCTTTATTTAATATTCCAGGGCTGAGCTTGAAGTTCTCTTGGCTGGCTGAAATGAAAAGCATGTCTTGAGATGTAAGATATGCTACTGAATTTTGTCTTTCAGACTCTACCTTCCCAGGAATGAGCTGGATAACCCTCACAAGTCTAAAATGTGGAAAGTCTATACTGAGACATTTGCTGTGGAGGTGAACTTTATTGAACCATAAGGGAAAGCTGAAAGAAGGGAAACACGCAAAATTAATCTCTTTTCCTGGAGAATGTCTTGCTGCTTCAGTACAAAGTGAAGCAGTCTCATTTTGATGTACTTAATGTATTTCTGTGTAGATACCACTTCTCAAATAAACTTACATGAAGTTCTGTTGTGCAGAGCAATGATACTCTGAAGAGTTACTTAGTGTCAGCTGACTGTCATGTTAATGAGCTGTTGGATCCTTTGGAGCTTAATGTCTCTACATACAGGTAATCCTTACTTTATTAATCTAAGACAATTGTCTGTCTTTAAGGAGGAGCATTAACCTGATGGTGGGTGGAGACCAGCAGTCTGCAGGAGACTGCTGGGAAAATCTGACATACCTTCCCTCAGCATCAGGGTTTTCTACAGGTCAGTAGAATTTGGAGGGAAGAATAGTAATCTGGCACAGGCAGACTAATATTCTTGAGCAGAAGTCTTGGTATCAAACCACTGTTCATCAGAAATCCATGATGTAGGGTTTTGAGCAACACCTGGCCTGGGAGCTGACTGCACAGGTGCTTCTCTGCCACTGTACCTCCCCACAAAGGGCTGAGATGGCACATCAGCTCATGAGCATGCCAATGGCCTGAGATCAGCTAGCCATGCTTGCCTTAATACCTTGTGCTGGTTTTGGCTGGGATAGAGTTAATTTTCTTCACAGTAGCTAGTATGGGGCCATGTTTTGGATTTGTGCTGGAAACAGTGTTGATAACACAGGGATGTTTTCGTTACTGCTGAGCAGTGCTTACACAGAGTCAAGGCCTTTTCTGCTCCTCACAGGGACAGCTGACCCCAACTGACCAAAGGGATATTCCACACCATATGATGTCATGCTCACATATAAAGCTGGGGGAAGAAGAAGGAAGGGGGGGACGTTTGGAGTGATGGCGTTTGTCTTCCCAAGTTACCATTCTATGTGATGGAGCCCTGCTTTCCTGGAGATGGCTGAACACCTGCCTGCCGATGGGAAGCAGTGAATGAATTCCTTGTTTTGCTTTGCTCTACCTATTAAACTGTTCTTACCTCAACCCCTGAGTCTTCTCACTTTTACTCTTCTGATTCTCTCCCCCATCCCACCAAGGCGGGAGTGAGCGAGCAGCTGTGTGGTGCTTAGTTGCTGGCTGGGTTTAAATCATGACATACCTGCATGTGATGGGTTTGATCTGTGCAAATGATCACTGATCCCTCTTGAGCTAGACTAAGACCTGTAATGCATAGACAATGCTTATTCTGCTTCCAACTGTTCTTGGCAGTACAGCTCTTCTGTGGAGACTGTTCAGGCCTTCCTTGATGTGAAATGTGTTGAGGTTAGCTTCTTGGTTCTGTTGCTTTAGTCTTTTTAGTGTTAGGAACCAAAAGCAGAAGGGAAGTGACATAGCTAGTTATCAGCTATGGAAAGCTAATGGAGTAGGCAAGAACAATTCATACCTTCCAGGTGCTTACTTAGGGTGGTGGCATACTATGAAGTACATGTGTGAACTCAAGTTTTGCTATTGCTGTGTAATTACTTGGTATTTAGGAGCTGGGCTGTCCAAAACTTCCATGGAGTTGGAAGCTGCTACTACAGCACTGTACTTCAAGTGTCGAGGTTGAAACCTGTCTTCAATGACAAAGTGTTCCACCAATTGTTTGCAGTTCTAGGTGCAGGATAGTGTGAGCCTGGGTCACTTAGATATTGTGAGTAGAAGTAGCTGGAGGTAATGTAGTCCAAGCTCCTGTGCAAAACAGGATCAGGCTCACACAACCTACTTCAGTTCTATAGATCTCCAAGGATAGGGATTTCACTTAATCTTGTAACTACTTTTCTTTCCCAGTTGGAATTTCTTATGTTCCAAGTTGTGGCTGTTGACTCTTGCCCTGCTGACTCTTGCCCTGCCCCTGTATGTCTCAGAAAAGCCTGGTTCTATCCCCTCCTGTGAACAAAGTAACTGCAGACAGCGCTAAGACTTCTCTTCAGCTTTCTGTTATGGGTGAACAAACCCAGTTCTCTCCACCATCCATCCTCGTTGCCTTCTGCTTGACTTGCTCCAGTATGTCACTGCCTTTCTTGTACAAACAAAATTGGATGTGTCCTGCCCCTGTATGTCTCAGAAGAGCCTGGTTCTATCCCCTCCTGTGAACAAAGTAACTGCAGACAGCGCTAAGACTTCTCTTCAGCTTTCTGTTATGGGTGAACAAACCCAGTTCTCTCCACCATCCATCCTCGTTGCCTTCTGCTTGACTTGCTCCAGTATGTCACTGCCTTTCTTGTACAAACAAAATTGGATGTGGTATTCCAGATCTGCTCTGACAGCTGTGAGAGGTATGAGCAGAGAGTCAGAACTGTCTGATTTGCTGGCTCCAGAGCCTGCTATTGCAGCCCAGCCTTTGCTGCAAGAGTGTGCTGGCTCATGTTCAACTTCTGCAATGCTGTTCCCTGAACTGTAGTGTTGCTTCAGAGGCTGCATGTGTTTATTGCATGTTACCTTGAGGGGCAGTTTACTAAGTTTAAAGTTAATGCAACCCCTGCATCTCTGGCTTGAGAAAAGGAAGAAACACCTACTCATGCAGGAGTGAGACCAGAGCTGCATCACTAGAGGGCGATGGAGCAAGAAGGCAGTTAAGGCCTCTATGTCTGCACTGAATGTACTAGGAGCTGGAATAGGATGGCATTTTATTGCAGCTAGAAGTGGCTGATGACAAAGTTCCTCTTGGCTTAGCTCTGGCAATTGGATATCACTGTCCTAGGATGCCCTTTCTAATTGCTTGCAGGGCAAAGAAGGTGAACCTTCTTCCTGCTTATGGAGTAACTAATCTCATGTAGCAGCAGCAAAGGCTGTAACAGCAAGAGTCAGAGTTTTCTAGCAGAAGCATGCAGTTAAGTAAAAACTATTGTATAAGCAGGAACGAGTAACAAAATAGCTGTATGAGGGAGATACTGCATCTCTCTTCAGAGAGCCAAGCACCACTGCTCAGAAGACAGCAACAATAGTTCCTAACCTCCCTGCAGCAGTGACCTTCTCTGGCTTCAGGGTAGTGGACACTCATCCCTTCCACATGTGGAATTTAGGTGACCTATGCTAGACTCCTGGCATTATTCTGGCAGGAAACTTACCCTTATAGCATGTATTGTGATAATCAACAATCTTGGAACTTGAGTTGAACCCTAGTATTAGAACTGACTTTGGTACTAACAAAGCACCAGGCCAAGGACTAAACTATGGGCTTTATTTTCCATAGGAGATTATGTAAATCTGCAGTTGTTCCACAGTGTCTTGTTATAGCTGGTACTTCCCCTTCAGTTTTGAGGGCTTTATAGATTCGTTAATTGCAAAAAGCCGCCTTCTTTAATTCTGGAGGGGTGATGACACCAACTTCAACCTCTCTTTGCTCCTCAGCTAGACAAGCTTGGTAAGTGTTGTTGCATAAACAATAGTCAGGAACTCAGTTAATCAAATCAAACTTTATTCCTGTGAATTTCTGTACCAACATAAAAAGTTCTGAGCTGAACAACTGACACATTTGTACAGCTTAAGCAGCTGTGAATGGAAAAATTACTGCTTACATAAACTTCAAAAGGTAAACTCTCAAAATGCATGTCTATTTCAGCCACCAGCTTCTTGCTGTAGGTTCAGTTCTAAATATCCTGCTTCTCTTGAAGCTTCAATTTTTGTATTAAAAACTGTAACCATCAGCTTTAAAAAATGAAAGCAAAGACAAATCTAAGAAATAGATTGAAGTATTCCACTGATGTGGAGTCAGTCCTCACCTTTTCATAACTATTAGAAACACATACAAATATACTATTTCTCTTGGGTAGACAACTTTGAAAAGAAGGGGAAGTCTAACAACTCTTAAAGCCTCACCCCTGTACCTGAATTATTTAAACATTTGGCATAAATTCCTTTTAAAGTACTGATGATGCACAGTATTACTGCCCCTAGTGTACTGGTCAATCAAGGCAAATTGGTGCCACAGACACTGAAGGTTCTTCAGCCATGCCCTGCTTGTAACTGCTTTTTCTCATCGGTGTATGAAAGGAAGAGGAACAATTCCTGCTGTGTGTGAAGGCTGGGGGAAGCAAGAAGAGCTTGTGGAACTGCAGCAACCACCTTTCATCAAAGAAAAAGACTTAACAGTGCAGTGGAATAGCCAGTTTAAGTGCATGCTGGCTACACCACAAGAGGCAGCAGGTATTGAGATGTTTTCACCTATGCCTAAAGCTTTTTCCCATTTCTGGGGTCCAAAATGGAAGCTCTAACATGCAAAACTGAGCTGTTCCAGCTGTGACTGGTGTCAGTCACTCACAAGTTGTGGCTGCTGTGACAAGCTGCCAATCGCTATGTAGCTCTAATGATGTTGGTGGGTAAAAGAGCTCTGCTAACCCCAGAGGGCAGCTTGCCTGTGCCTCCCAGGGTGGGCTGTCACTTACAGCATGCAGACAACATCCCTCTGTACAACTCCAGGCCTGAGTCATGAATTGTGTTGCTCTGAGACCTGCTTTGCCTTCTCCCAGGATAGGCAGTAGCTGCTTCTTACAAGGCATAAAGAACATCCTACTTCAAGAATAAAAGTGGCATCTAGAAATAGGTGTTACTGCATCATTTTAGAAAATACTGACTAACTGCATGTTTAATCAAGTAACATGACCAAGCAGGCATGTCCAAAGGTGATATGAATGATCCAGTCATATGAGCTCTTTCCACTCAGCTAAAGAGACACAGCAAGTGGCAGGACTCCAGCCCAAGTAAGTGCGTGCTACACCACAGAGACCATGGTGTCAGCTGTCTTTAAGAACTCAGTTCTGGCTTTCTGCTCCTCTTCAGCTTCCTGTCCTTCAAACACATGGACTCATTCATAGCAAGGTGACCCAAACAGGAGCCTGCACAAAGTTACAATTCTGTGCTCTGAGCCAGCAGCTATTTCCAGCAGTCTCCCTTACATTAAGTGTTTCATTCAGTGGTGCTTAGTATACTCCAGCGCTTCTTGGAAGGATTTAGAAAATAATAAAGTGCTGCCACCCACTTGTTACAAATGCTGCTTGGACTCCTTAAACCCAGTAGCTATATGTTTTTATCTCAAATGCAGAGAGATATCTCAGCTCTAAGTCATATGAGGTAGGGGGTGAACACTTCCAACTTTTACAAGCCCGTTCACTGGGACAGAGTACACAAGTCAGACACCAATTGCCATGACCTTGGAAAGTGAGCAGAAGGGAGCTGGAGAAGGACAGCAGTCTACCTGAGGGATATGTATGAATCAGTCATACTGACAGATTAGACAGGACTGGTTATTTTGAGTCAGACACTTGCCAGCAACAACTGTGAAAGTTAACCACCACAGCACAGATGTTAAAACAGTGCTTTGCCTTAAACAAATCACAGCCTACTGCTGCATGTTACATTAAACCCAACAGGTCAACATAACTCTTTTTAGCACCATTACAGGTCAGGAAAATATATTTATTACATGCAATGTACCTACTGCAGAATCTGCAAGATGGAGATAGTTCTGCTGGTCTAATTCAAGCAGCATGTACACATCTCTATAAAATCACCTGAATTTAAAAGATTACAAATCCTAAACTGGAGTTGAGTTCCTAGAATTAGGTCACTGATTTGGCCCTGCTCAGACCATGATGTGATCTACAGGTTTTTGATCATTTATTTAAATGATCCTTAAACAACCTTTTGTTCTCCATCTGCTAGAAGGTATCAGTAAGAATCTATTTGTTTCATCATAAGTTTGCGGCTGTACTCATAGGCAAGGAACAGTGCCCCATTGGCCAGGAATGCTCGGATCATAGTTGGCTTTAGTCCAGAATACAAGGCAAGCACACCTGGAAATGAAATCGGAGCCAGTCAGCAATTTATTAAAATGCCTATCTAGCTACATCAACCACTGTGCTTTTACCTTCAAAGGTTACTGAAGTAATGCTTCTGTTTAGAGGGGCATGCACATACAAAGAGCTGAACTCACTGGTGTAGCGGTATTACCGGATATTGATATAGAAGGAACATCTAGAGTTGTAACATGAGTTTAGCCATTTAAGTGCTTATGTTAGAAGCTTATCTCAGGCATGACAGGGTCTTCAGAAGGCTACCTTGGTCACCTGAGGATACAGCTCACAGCAGCTGTACCACAGCTGGCAAGGGGACAGAAAGAACAGCAGGCTATGCTGGAGCTGTGCCCCAAGACAGACTCCTGCTCTGATGAGTATCTTCCCTAGTAACAGGGCTGGGATTCCTATCTGCTGCCATGTACATTCTTACACCATCTTCTGAAGTGCCTGGTGCAGGCCTTTTCCAGAGATGAGACACTGAGGTAGATGCCCCAATTTGCCAGGCTAGATAGGACTGATTTATCAAACAGCCCTCAGTCAACCATATATTAACTTCTAGAAGTGAAGAAAAATTCTGTACTGAATTCTGTACTTCAATTTTCATGTATAAGTTTGGTCATGGGTAATGGAGCTCATTCCTTTATCTGCTTTTAATGGATACTGAGCATTTGTTAGCTTTAAGTGAATTGTCTCCTGAACCAAAAGGCATGGCAGATACAGTAGGTCTCAATTTCTGATTCCAAGCTTTCCAGACTACACGAAGCATCAATATTTGTTTGTTAGAAACAGTTACTGTCTGTCTCTAACACATTATCAGTGGACTAGATTTCTTAAGCAATCTTTGGTGTTGGAGAGTATAGATTTCAATCTGCAGCCCTACAGATTCAGTTGATGTGCTGCATACTCACCTTCAGTTCTCACAACAGTTACAAATGTTCCCATAAAGCCTGTCTGTTTTCCAGCCATTGAAAGAACCTGAATTCTAGATTTGACACAGTCCACAGGATACACAGCAATCCACAGACAGCTGCCTCCAAAACCTCCGCTTAGTAGCAAAGGAATGGGACCTAAAGTTAAGAAATAAGCTTTTATACACACCACAAAATATTCACCAACACAAATATCACATTATTTCAACTACAAAAGTCAAAGAGAACACAGAGGAACCTACTTAAGACAGAAGAGCAGTTTCTGCTCCCCCACAAACCTTTAAGTTAATTTTAAGCCACTGCTAAGTTGCAAGTCTAACCAGAAGCTCAAAGGTTATAAGGAGTGCCCCTTAGATTATTGGCCACGCTAAAAAAGCACAACTCACAATTCTGTTTTGACTGTATTAACTAAATTAACTCCACTGCTTTCACACTCGTAATCACCTTCCGATGCTAATTGTGAAATTGTTCAGAGTAACATCACATAGGGTCACTAATCACCTGTAGGGATTTATTTGATACAGTGAAGTTACTTTGTGATCAGTCATTTTTCATGATGCAACCTCATGTTGTGTTTCAGATCAGATGTTTATAAACATTTTGCAAAGACTAGAATGCATGCAGGTGAAATCCTACCTCACAGCAAGACAAAGTATGATTGTGCAGTCTTTCAACAGGAGACAAGCAATCTTTATTCTGGCATCTCCTCATTTTTTTTATGTCTAATTTTCGGTATCAGTGTTCTCTTACTATCATTGTGATGACAACTAATGGTCAGCATACATTTTAGCATACACTTGAACATACGGTTCAAGAGAATACAGCTAAAGACATCAAAATTGCTCTAAACAGCCGCTGAAATGAAGTAGTTCAGAGTTGCGTTACACTGTGGAGTCAGATATTTAAGTGGTTTTGTAATATTACTGTTAGCTCACGGTGTTTATTCACCATCTACAATACATCCTGCTCCATTGGAAAGTGGTCACTTCAATAATTCATTACTATATATACACAAAATGCAGACCTCCGTATTCTGTATGTCCAGTTTCCTTCATTTTACACATATTTTACAACTGCTATGCATTATTAGTATATCTTCCTCCCTTATGTCCCCTACAACAGCACGCTACAATCCACCTGGAAAAAGGGGCACCGTACCTAATTCATCTTTTGATCTCCCAGAGGCAAAGAACGTCCGGCTCAGTTCATATCCTCCAAAGAAGAAGAAATAGCCTGGGACTTCCCGCAGCAAAGTGCTTGACAGGCCACGGTAAAATCCAAGGGGACCATCCTTTTGAATAACACCCTTCACTACTGACCAAACTGTACTGATAGAGAGGTTGATCCAGTTAGTGATGCTTAATAGCCAGATAATAAGAAGGTTACAGAACAATAAGCAACTGCAGCTACAATTAAGGGTTAGATCCGTTGTGTAGACAACAGGACTCACGTAAGACTTAAAACAAGATTCTGCCAGGAGCCCTTCACTGGCCCCCAGCTTTACTAGTGCCTGGAAGATGTCCAGGCTGCGACCCTCCCAGCCACAACTCGTCTCTGGTCAACAGTGCACTATAAATGTGACACTGAGCCAATAGAGAATTAAAAATAATAAATACATATAGAAGGGTTTCAGAGATACTGGGCAGGGTGTATACTTACTTGTGTCCCTGGATTATCTTTCCTGACAACTGCATTTCATGCATGGCCTGCAGCCGGCACTTCACCAGCTCTGTTGGGCAGAGGACAAGGGTGGCAAAGGCAGAGGCGAAGGAGCCCGCAGCAGCGTTCTGCAGATCACTGCAAGAGAGAAACTGCAGAAGGTATTTGGGCACTGACCTGCAGTGTAGTGGAGCCACTGGACCAGCAAACAGCTTCCTGAACCTGTACTCTAAATATCATCAAGAAAAACTGACGGACAGTCTTGGGGGAAAGAGTCTCAAAGGAAAAGGGCAGTTACTTGAACTAGGGAAATGAAAAACCTAGCTCATCCCATCTTCATATACAACTCAAATACATCCTTTTGACAGCTGAGAAGATATATTGCAACCTTTACCCTTCCTGCTATACTTTAGTTATTGCAGCAGAATAAACACTGTCAAATCTTCCTCTTCTTGGCTTTTATAAAAATTGCCATAGACTTGTTTTACTGGGCAACTTTTGGGTACTAGTTACTTCCTCAAAGAGAATAGGAGCAATAATCACCTCATATAGATGTCAGTGTTCTCAAATTCACCTTACCAGTATTAACACAGGTTTTCAGTGAAAGATGCTAGAAATCTGAAATCAAGGCACAATGGATGACTATAATCTTTCTATTGATGTGCTGCCAGGAATACAACCATGTGAATCAGAGAGCGCACACAAACATAAACCACGCCACTGAACAGGACAGCGCTGTAATCTGCATTGACTCACAGTATTCCAAAACTGGGACTTACTTTGCAGTGGTATTACACATATCGCAAAGTCTGGGCTGCTAAACTGCCAGGACTCAAAAGGCTGGTACTCCAGGATCGTACTGCTTTATGATACACTTTAAACGGGCTCCTACAGACACTGCTGTGTTGGACAGGAGCTGCACAATAGCACAGAACAAGTGGAGCTTCTCTCTTCTTTCAGAGCCTGGGAAGTCAGCACAGCAGAGATTGACCTCACTGCTGCACAGAAATTCTTTCCATACAAGGGAGATGTTTGCCCTGTGCTCAGCAGTTTTATACACCTATAGTATCAGAGATTAAAGCTATAACTTTTCACCTTACAGAAGCATCACGGAACTAAACTTGTAACATATTCAGGTATGGCAGTGACAAGAACTGTCAAAAGTGGAAGAAATCAGCAACTGGCTGCAGAGCAGCAACTGAATAATATGCAGTAAATAAATGGCAACACTGATTACACAACCCTCTTGCAGCACACAAAGCTTGGCTTAACAGGATCTGAGATACAACCCAATAAAGCTCAAAACAGAGCAAGGCAGAGTTAAAAATACAGTATATGGCTGAGCCCTGCAGTCCTTAAGCTATGAGCTAGAGTAAGGCAATAAGGTTACACATTAGGATAACAAAATATGGAAGAGGTGCCTTAAAGCTATGCACTGAAGGATGCACAGGATCCCTTCTCCTTCAGGGGAGAAAAAAACCCAGATGCTATCAGACTTTAAAAGAATTCTGACACATGTACATAAAGGACTAGATTTAGCCATAATTCAGATCTTTTCTACTTTTGCCTGTTGATGTTTAATTCTACATACAAAAATGCAACTACACCCACTGTTTAGGGTTTGGTCTTTAATATAGTGAACCTCACTGCAGAAGTGATAAGCCTTGAATCCCATTCAAGTTCCCTCTCAACTCAAAATGCCTAATTCAGTATTTTTTCTGGGTCGGAGAGTTTTGATCACACAGCACAGGAGCAAGAATCCTCTCCTCTTACACTGCTGCTTCCTCTATAAAAGGCATTTATCTTGTTTTTCAAAGAAAATAACCTGCTGAAGATGACTAGTCACGTACTGAGAAAGTCAAACTGAGGTGAACGAGGATAATAGTTCTCTCAGTTTAGACTTTGGCACAGAACAAAATCAGTTTGGTTGGACTAAATGAGCACTTAAAGACAAATTGAATTTAGCACTTCTCTTTCCATTTGGTTGTCTCAGTTCAGACTTTAGCACAGAATGAAATCAGTTTGGTTGGACTAAATGGCTGTTAAAAGATAAATGGAATTTAGCATTTCTCCCTCCATTTGTTTTCTTTGACTCATGCAGTGATGTGTATTCCTTTAACCGAAAAAAGTGGTGTTTTGTAACTGTCCTTGTAACTGTTTTGCAAGGCTTCACACACTGACCTACACACAGGCAAGCTAGGCAAGTTTATTGCCAAGCCATTTAAAAGTATTACTGAAAAGGTAACTTAAAGCAAAACCAAACTATTATAGCTGGTTTTGAGAAATCTCAAACACTATAAAATAATGAAAAAGTGACAAGCAATTGCTTAGATATGCGTAAGAAAAATGGTCAGGTTCACCTCAGTTTGTGACTTCATGCATTTTCTTCTTCAGGCTAAGACAGTATGACAGTTTTTAAACAGCAGAGGCAATGAAGGTAATTACAGTTCTTCACTTGTCATGTCTGGAGGATAGCCACCTCATCAGGGTTTCTTCCCTCCTCTACAGCACATTACAAAGGCTGCTCGACTCTTCCACAATAAGAACGGGTAGACACGTCCTGGACAGACCACATGTACTCAGGGCACCACTGCAGACCATGTCAATACAATTCTCTCATACATGCACCTCGTAAGATGCCCCCACAATGATCCAGATGAAGAGACCAACAGAGCAGCACCAAGGGAAAAAAAAAAACACCACTTTCAAGTAAACTTAAATCCTTTAGTGTTTTGTCCTAGTACAGTCATGCAGTCACACTATTTGCTCTTCAATCAACCATGAATTAAACAGCCATCCTCGATCTGAAAAGTACCAGTACCTGACCAAGGAGAGAAGGGTAAGAAGTCAGAGGCCCTTGCTATTGCTACATATTCAAATTACATTCCATCCTGTATCCTACTCCAAAGATGAGGAGTAGTACACCTATGTATATTGTTTGAAAGTTTCCTGCACTACCTCCCCTACATACACCCTAAACATGCTGTCTCAGTCACTTGAGATGATCCTAGGACTTCTGCAAGTCCATGGTCTACCTCTCAGGAGGATCACAAAAGATGGTTAAGAAGCAAAGCATGCTGTTGGTAGGCCTACCTCCTACATTTTAGTGGGTAGAAAAAGATAAGGGATCTGTAAGCTGAGCAAGCAGAAAATCCCTGATCTAAGTAATAAAAAAGGTGGAAACAATTCTGTCCCAGCTGAGAGGTCTCAACTGCCAGAAAACAGTGAAAGAGAATGCCAGTAGACAGCAATTAATGTAAGTTTCTTCATCACTTCATATTCCCTCATAGCAGGCCTCAGTCTTAAGATACAGCACATCTTAACATGTGACAGGAGAACCTCTCACGTAATGCCACTTTTAGATACTTGTCTTGCACTTAGGTAGCTACCCATGTCATGTCAGAGATCTCAAATGCAGAATCATGGCCTCCTCAGCTACTTCCATTTGGAGACAGATGTGACAGAGGCAAAATGAAGCTGTTAATAAAAAGCTGAATGTGGTTAACCTTGCATAACTCTTTGAATGAATGGAGTTAGGACAGTATGAGAAGTCTTTTATACACTGTGGGGCAGCACAAGGATGGAGAAGGTGCAGCTACTCTCAGTGCTGCACAGAAGACATACCTTGAGAAATGCGTAACAGTAAGGCACACTGAGACAGCTAGACCACTGAAAGCTTTAAAGTGACACACCTGGAGAAAAGCCATCCTAGCTAGAAAGAGATTATGATCATTACACTGGTGCATAAATCCACAACTTGTTCACACCCTGAATACTCTGCACCACTCTGGTCTCATGAGCTCAAACCCAGATGCATTAGAATTACAAGAGTTTCAGAGAAAGGCAACAAGGACAGTTAAAGGAACAGCTTCCAAGCGCTCACTGACTAGGAGGGCTGGGATCCTTCCACCTAGGAAAAGACTCAGGTGGGGAAAAGGGGCATGGAGCACTGGATAGAGATCTACAAAACCCCAAGTGGCATAGAGGCAGTGGCTAAGGACCAACTGCCCCTTCCAGTTACATAATTAATGATTATCACCTGCAGAACTCCCTGCCAAAGTGTACTGCAGATGCAAGGAACTTAGAAGAATTTGAGGGAGACTGGACAAGTGCTCCAAAAGAGATCCAAAGTCACTGACTGGATCACACCAGGCTCAAGAAATCCTCTGAACTAAGAACGCAACCTGGCAGAGGACTCAGAGTAAATACTAACACTTTCTTCTTTCTCATTAAGGAGGCAACCACTTATTGCCAGTACTGTAGACCACACACTGCACAAAATTAGACCCTCAGTTACATTCAAGCTTTTGAAACTTAAATTTAAAAAGCAAGGCAATACTAGAAAAGTGTCCTTTCCCCTAAGTATGCCTCCCGGTAAGAGGAACCATTACCTCCCCTGCAAAATCAGAACAACCTAGAGATCAAGGGAATACCAACTTTCAGATGTTGCAATGCTCATTCCCTTTGGTAAGATGTTCCAGGTCTTGAATATTCTAATTAAGTTGTGATTATCTAAACCAGCCAGCTGCAGTGACAAGTAGATGGCTCTGTTGTAGTTAGACACCATATCCTAGCACAAAGGTCTATATTCCAAAACTTACTACACTGCATACCGGCAGAGGAGGACCTGGGACATCAGTTGCACCCTGACAATACAGTATTTGCAAGTAGCAGTCACATGACTTTTTATTTATTTATTTTAAAAGATGAAACAGATTTCTATTACTAACCTGAGCTTTGTTTTCCTGTCTACTCCAACAATTCTTCTCACAATTTGTTGGCAAAATCCATAGCACATGAAGAGAACTGAGTTCTCTGCGATATTGGCTACAAGCGCTGGTGTGGTTCCCTTGTAGAAGCCTCGAAACCCCACTTGCTTATAGGTTTTCACAAAACAGTCAACAATTCCTTTGTACATGTCAGGGAACGTCTGCATCTTCACCTTTGCGGTGTCAAAGGGCTGGCCAGTCACCACGCATGCTGTCCCACCTAAGCAAGCAGTGGAAGTTAAGAGGGTGGTTAAAGGTTATCACAACTGAAACGCCTATACACAAACAGCACTATTAGGAAAATCACACAGAAAGCAAAGATGAATGAATTCTCCACAGGAAAAGACAACTGCACTGATTTTAGCACAATGGCATCAATTGTCAGTGGTAAATTTAGTTACCTGAAGAAAAAAAATCATGCATAACAGCAGTAATAGCTTGATTCTTGTTAAAGAATCATGTTACCTTACTAAAAGCAAGCATCTAAATGAATCAGTTCACTTGCATAAATGGGTACTGAATTAGAGGTATTGTTCTGCAATCAAGTCACTTGTGTTAACGAGTTAAGCAACATTTTCCTTTGCTCATTAATGTAGTGGTTCAGAAGCCATCTGATTTTATGTTCCAGCAATAACAAAAAACTGAAAGATTTGTAATCAAGTGAGACAAAGATTCCCCCAGGACAAGAGAAACACTGCTGAGAGAGTGCTAAAACTGATGATGCATGATAAATTGATAACAAAAGACTCAAGCTCTTTACTTCAAAACTCCAGATGATTCTTATTTACATTTATTCCCACATACTGGAAGAAAGCATCCAGGATAAGCTGAAAAAGGGCAAAAGGGCAAAGTTTCTCAATGTGTTATCTTTTCCAAATTGAACTGCAAGGTCAATACCCTGAAAACTTGTGAGTTATCTCCATGAATGTCATCAATAACCACTTTGCCCACAGTGCAGTGTTCTTCCACAAGATCTAACTCAATTCAGTAGTCTGAGGAAAGAGCTAACATTACACTTTTTCAGTAAGAAATACCAGCGTACACTGACAGCAATCTACTAGAAGCCAATACCTAACAGGAAGCGTATGATAGGTGTACCTTATATAAACTTTACAGTTTTGCTTTTTTAGCAAGAGAGAAGAACCATCCTAAAATGGAAGCTCATCCTTAACCAAAGCACAGTTGACATGCATATACCTTAAAGAGAGCAAGTTAACAAGATGTTTTTTCAGCTATGAAACTGAAATAGTTATCTGTAAATACAGATAATGTAAAGAAACTGAAATAGAAACAAATGTGTGAATCCAATTAAGATTTGCTATTTTTCTTTTAGGTGGTAAGTAGGAGAGTAAGCAAGTGTTTGTTTAACCAGGGTGATTTTCAATCGATTTTACTCCTTGGAAACACATTTGTGTTACATTGTTGTTGCTCCTCTGCAAAGAGGTACTTGCAGGTCTTTTAAGAGGAACTCAAGGTCCTAGCTCCCATAAGACCTCCTTCTCAACCAGATGGATCATTAAAAGCTTCAGAGCAAATCATGCAAGGAAACATGAAGAGCTTCTTGCTCTAGGAGGGATAACCAAGGAGAGAAGTAGCTGGCTCAGAGCAGTAACATCCATGTAAGCCTCAGATGAAAACCAGAGCTAGAAAGGCTCAGCCAATGCTACTTGCAGGCAAGTCAGGTAGATATTAATCTACAAGACAAATGCCAGGTTCCTGTGTAAAGGTAGACCTAAAACATCCACATGTAGTAAAACAATGGCTGTTGGAAGAAGCCCAAGAAAACCAGGAATGGTCTTGGGAATGCAAAGCTGAAAAATTGGGAGTTGACTGTGAATGGCTGTTCCAAAAAGAGAAAGGGCTCTCCCTACACTGTCACTGGAGGTGGCACAAGAAGCCCAGTAAACTACAGCAATGAACTTTGTAAGCCTCAAGGTAAAGACCAAGAGTCCCAGTTAATATCTAAAATATTAAAGAAAAAAATAATTCTTCCAGCCAGCAGTAGAGTCTAAAAAAAACAACAACAAAACCAGAACAAACCAGAAAAACAAAAAAGTCAATCCTGCTTGAACGTTTAGACAAATGTGGTCCTAATAACAACATGTGAACAGTGGGGAAGAGTCCTACGTAATCAAAGAAGTGATGAGAGGTTGCTCAGATCCTAGGCAAAGGACTATGACCCACAGGCAGCTAAATTACTTATTTGTTCTTGTTCAGAATTTACTTGCCCCAATATGTCATTACTTATCAGCTAGTCAAGACTGTATCTAGAGAGGAAGGTAAAACCAGGTTACACATTTGCTGGAGGAACTAGCTGTTTGCCTAGTTAAGTACACTTTCTAAAGGGTGCAGAGACATATGTAACACAGAAACAAGCACTACCAATGAACACAGGCAATAGAAAGCAAGTATGTGGAAAGAATATGGAATATAAATACTAGAGGAACAGTAAAACTATTTATTACAACAGAATTAACAAAGAAAAAGAACAAGAACAATGATTTAGGATTACTGAAGTCATGTTGAAAAAGGTCTGAATTCCTTCATCTTATCTGAAGGAAGGAGAACTATACCAGAGAAAGTGGCATAATTAGTTCCAAGATCCTCTAAGCTCTACTGCCAAAAAAACAGGCAAACCTCAAGGGCATGGCCCTGTTAACTGTTCCATGCCCACATTCAGGCTATCACCAAGCAACGGATTTCTAAGCTAATACTAGTTTCCAGCTTTTGTAGTAGCCAAGATGTCTTTCTGAGTTGAAGCCTGGTGTGTCAACTTCCTAAGCCAGAGTGCTCCACTGCCCTGGATGTTAACAGCAGCATTCCTGAGCTGAAGTACCAGGAAGGAGAGCAATCACACCTCCCATTTAAGCACCTGAGAACACCCGCAAAAACATCAAGAGTGGCACAGATATTAAGTTGCTACTTTGGGAAATAGAGCAGACATAAGTTGTTGGAAGACAACTTCCTGACACAGCTGGGGACCCAAAAACCAGGGAGAACGAACAGACTAAGAGAACCATATTTTTTCTAAGGCAATGAAGGAATAATAGCAGAAACACTTCTCTTCCCTTGCAGGGAAAGAGGGTGTTGTCTAGTCAATAACATATTTTGCAAAGGCTAACAAAGCAGGTATTCACTGGACAAAATGTGATGGCAGATGAAATGCTTTACGAAGGGGTCACATTGGACTCACATTATCTGTCACCCCTTGCTTTCTCACGGCGCTAAGGTTAACTCCACTCTGACACATGACCTCAAATAACTACCCCTGAATGCACTTAACACCATTAATACTGTCATATTCAGAGCATTAACACCGTCATAAAAGGACTGACGGCAATAGCTATTGTACAGGGAAAAAAAACCAAAGTTGTTTAAACTGGTTATAACAGTACATTAGACAAATATTTCCTTCCACCTTTTCTGTATAAACATTGTCAGCTTAGAAATCTCAAAAAGTCCCCTTTTCCCTGGTAGACTTAAAAACCGATTCATCCCTCAGCCACGGATATTACCAACATGGTAATGTCAGCGAGACAATGCAACTGTTTCCACATTTGTGACTGTCACAACTGGTCCAGCAAAACTTTATAGCACAGACTAGACCAAAGTGGAAGTTAGTTAAGCGAATTCATCATCATCAGTCCTACTACTGAGCTTCCCAGCTTTTAAAGATTCACACCGGGATGTTGTCTGAGCCAATAACCCTTCAGATAGCCTCTTGCCCGTTTCAATTAGAGAGGGTTCCTGTGACAAAAGCAGCACCTCACTCACACGTTGTTTGAGTTCATTCCAAAACTCTACTTGTGGCTGATTCTTAAACTCATGTAAGCATGAGAACTAACACTGACATTTAAACCTCCTTCTGGAAAATTATTAGTCTAAAATAAAGGTTACACCTTCACTGTTTGGCAGGGGTTTCACCAGGGAGGAGCGATGCAGTTACAACACTGGCTGAGGTCAGCTGCTTCACCTCCATATCCTTAAAATACAGGTGAGGCTTTTTATAGCAATGGGAAACTGCTTTTACATTTGTCAAAGCTATTAAAACTGTCCCTTAGAAGTTTTGTGCAATTAAGTTCTCTCCAGCATTACCTGCAGCTCCTGCTGTGAGGTCGATAGCAGCCTGAATAGCAGGGTTGATCCTCATGCTTCACACTTGTTTATCAGTCACTTCAGAGTGAAGTCTGTTTCCTGGAGGTGTAGAGATACTTGTCTCCTGAGGGAAGAGAAAGATGAACCATATGCGATTTACAACAATAACTGACAGGCAAATGCATCACATGAATGCTTTCACTTCCACTCTTCCATTTAGCTTGTTCTAAACCATTTAGACACAGAAAATGCTTGTCCCCAGGACCGAGAGGTAGCATATTTGTATTTTGACTGACTAGTTTCACTGCATTAGGCAAGTCCTCTGGAGTATCACTGCCTAGCTTCAGATTACCTGGGCTTTCCAGCTTCTAGTCTCCCTGGATCTCTCAAATGAAAGCAAAGAGTACCTCCAGGAAACAGTGTTGAGCATTACCTTTCTATTGATTATAGAAGCATAGTCTCCATCACATGTCTAAGGCTAGCTGCCAGGAATATTTCTCCCCTGTCTCAGCTCCCCACCTATAAAGTAAAACAGAGAATTGCTCTCCTTATGGCAAACAGCAGCTAAGAAAACTATATTCACGATGATACAGGCACATTAGGTATTTCTACGTGGCTCTCAGAAGACATGAGTAGAAGAGGAATTCATATGAACATCTAGAATTGTGTCTGGTTGTCATGTTCCCAGTGCAAGTCCCCCACGCACCAGCATATTATAAATAAGGATTACACCTCATCTCTCAGGAAGGCAGCTGGAAAGCAGAAATACAAAGGTGACACTTTCAAATACAACATTCAAATGAATTTAGTTCTTAAGTTTGCAGCAAGATAATGTCACTGGGCAAGCAGTTAAAACAAGCTTGCTTATTTGGAGTAAGATCACTGAGCCAAAGATCTCCCACTGTTTCAGAACCGTGTTGCTGAGCTAGACACTTGGCTGGCTGTGCTGTCAAAAAAGTTGCATGAGTCTTAAAAAAACACACAAATACACACATGAATCAGCCCTTCATTGACTGTTAAGCTTATCTTCAAGTAGACTACACGAGTAAACAGAACAGTTTTCACTCTTCTACCTACTGTAATGCTTCTTTTGAAGCCCGTTGTCTCCCAAAATATACTTTGGAGTAATGTGAATGGGAAACAATTTCCAGCAGGCTACAATGAAAGAATAATTAAAAAAAACCCCACGCTGTATGAACCACATCCTTTATACAACTTCTACATTACAAGCACAGATACTTGCATACAAACAAGGCGTTAAGAAAGCCTGCCTCTAAACAGATTTATTATTCCTGAAGTTTAAAAAAACAGTAGGCCAAATACTGTCACTCAGTAACTTCACGTGTCCAATCTGTTTAAAATGTGTTGCAGGAATCTGAACGTAATAGGTTTAAAGAAAATAGTCACTACTCTTGTAATAAATGACACTAATACATGCTATTTCCGAATTGTGGTTACAGATTTGAACTGTTTCACTACTGACAGCATAGTATGCTAGGTGTTATTTCAAAACAGAGGCTCCAAGACCAAGTTACACTTCATTATCCTATACACCTCATTAGCATTCACACAGCACTCCGCAGTTTTGATTCTCATTTAGAGGAAGAAACGAACGACAAATCAACAAGACAGCCTCTGAATGAAGGGAATTACTAGAGAGCAACAATTGCCTGCCTTCAGTAAAACGTACACTGCTTGCTTATCGACTTGTGCCAGTCCCCAGAGGGAGCACATGCCAAATCACCTACAGATACCCACTGAAAGCTTGGCAGCAGAAGGAAAAACAGAGATGCCTATAAAAATACAGAATTTTAAGAGCCAAGGAAGTTTAGTTTCCCGATCCATAAGAGCACATTGCCACTTTCAGAAGATTTAAGACTTAGTAAAAACTACACTGGTATTATGTATGTACTTACCTTCCCTCCTATTTTTTTTCCTATTTGTAATAACAGTAGCACATTAAAAACTGCTTGTAGATATAGCAATGCAACAACAACTCTGTTACTTCCAAAGCGGATCCAAGCCTCAAACCTGGAAACACAGAAGCATCAGTTAGCGTAACAGGTCCCACAGAGTCCTCCACCTGCAGCCCCAGATGTTATTCTCTGCTGATGCATTCTCCAAACACTAAGTAAATACACCCAGAAGGTAGCACTGCTCCTTGCAAGAGCCTGCAAAGGCAAGCCATAACTCGGCTTCCCAAGGTCACAGCAGGCCGGCACCCCAGCAGGAGCCGAGCAACTCCAGGGCTAACCGCGGCAGGCTGTCACACGTGCTCATGGCTGGCGCAGAGAGGGACTCTTTACTGGCCAGACCACCAGCTCCAGGGTGGGCAAAGCCAAAGGGCCGCTTTCCTTAGGAGAGGAAGACTCAGGCTGCAATCGCGGTAACCGCGTTCCCAAAACGCCCACCCCTTTTGAGCAGCAAAGCCCCGGCCTGCGTTTGGCGGGGCGGCGCGGGGAGATGGCAGAGGCCTGCCGGGGCAGGACGCCGCCTAACCCCGCACCACCCCCGGCCCGACGCCTCTCCCGGGCGGCTGCACGCA